TTAACAGAATTATTAAGCCTACATGTGTATATATACACAAACAAAGGAACATATTTGTGAAATATTGAGATAAACAATGAAGGATAAAAGCTTCCATCAAAATGATCTTTTAGTACTGAAAATGATTTTTTAGTAATGAAGATGATATTTAGCTGTAAAACAAACTTTGTTGTACCTGTAAAAGCAGAGAAAACGGAAGTTATTTACCTGTAAAAGCTTTCTCCCCAATTGTATGACAACTCCCTGAGAGGTCTCATGTATCGCTTCGTTACACTGGCTATTAGCTGAACGGTGGAGATTGAAACTTCCGAGAAAGAGAATGATTGCAGAGAACTGGAAATATGCACCAAAGGCATAGATTAAAACCCCAATTCTGTATTTTTTTGGGAATAATTCAAATTTATGTAACTTCTAACTAACCTAAACAGACCTTGAAATCCAAAGCAATGAAATTACTTTAGTAGGCTCTCAAATTTTGACTTTTCCAAGGAAAATATCAGGATATATTATAGATGAACAAAAAAAAAAAATTGGGAACTTCAAGGAAAAAAAGAAAAACAATAACGTAAAATGTAACTTTCCTTTATATTCCTGAATTAAGGTTTTCAAAACCTGAATTTGTCCTAGGGTCAGAATATTAATATAGTAACTGTTTGCATATATAAACAGATCTAACATCTCAACAATGGACATTTGGTGGTCGTCGTTCCTCTACTCAAAAGTTCATCATATTTTTTTTAAAACTTGTGAGTGGAGGAACGACCAATATCTACGCACACTCCCACCCCCTAACCCCCACAAACACACGCACACAAAAAAAAAAAACTAGAACAACCATCAGTTTTTATTTTGCATGGTTGAAGAACTTGTGTACATCCGTGCATGAAGTAAACAAGTGCTAAAACATGCATTTCCTTTTCTTCTATTCTTATTCCTGGCAAAGTTCAAAGTTCTATCTTCTACAGTAAGCAAAATGATCCTATGGCACCTGAACCTACAGGAACGAGCTACCCTGATCTCCACCAATGTGGGCCTATGGCAAGTTACGGAATATCTCCACTTTCGGTCGGAGGACGTCAATGGTGGACATCAGGGTTTTACACATTCTCATACAGGATTC